CTCCTTTACGTACTTCATTAGTTGCTAATGCTGCCTTCAAACGCTTTGGCGCTAACAGCCTTATTTAATAAGCTGTGCCCGCCACTTCGTTCCGCGAAAAGTTGAATACAATCACACAAGTGTAGCCTAAAGTTTTAATCAGTGGCGTCTGATTTAACCTTCTTAGGAATACCGTAAAAATGCAGTACTTTCGTAGATTAAAGGTTACATACAGACAAACAAAAAAGGTGTTTTGCGTAAAATATATTTTATCTATTATTTATTTAATTATTTACATACAAGCGATTACATTTTTACGTATTGATTTATTATTCAATGTTGTGTTATTAATAAATTCATAGTTTGTTGCTTATCATATAAGGTTTGATAACATTCTTAATTAATAATCAGAGTAAAAACGTCTATTTGATTTTTGGGTACTATTATTTTCAAAGTTTGTGCAACAATTCTTAAAGATAATAGAACTTGGAAAGAGTTTTCTTAGAGAGAACGTGTCCACGTTTATTAATTTTTTTATTAAAATTCATCCCGTAACTGGGCTAAAAAGATCTCTGTAATAAAAACAACTTAAATTGCATTTTAAAATATTAACAAACATCGAAACAAGAGTTCGCGGTCATGTTTCGCTCTTTACATACAAAACGTCCGGACAAAGTTATTCTAACTTTGAGGGGCTCGCTGGCTCTGAGCCATTAACAGTCGAACTTCCGCTTTCTTAATTAAAAAACATAAAATATTATTCGACTTCACGAAGCAATGTGAAATTGAGTTAGCTAACAAATTAAACAGTACCCAAGAAGGGAATGATAATTAAAAATAAGTTTCAGAACAAACAGCGTTTATTAGATTTTATTATTTATAGCTACTGTTATGTTATTATTACTATACGTTATTAAGATAAAACTAAAAAATGTTAAGATGGAAAAAATCGGCGAGAGAAACTAAACATAAAGGCACGGCCACAGCGTTCCGTGCTCTTGTTCTTGTCAAACGTGTCACTCAACTAGACCCACTCTTATTTTGAAATATATATAGTGGATCGAGAGCCTCACCAATACCATAGACAGACATATTGTAGGAGTATCTTGGAGTAACCGAGTAAAGAAACAATGATATATATCTTTATACTTTAACTAACACTTCACAATTACAATATAAAATGTAGATAGGTAAACGAAACGAGTTATAAATTATGAGGTTATCACTTTTAGAGAGAGTCTGTCGCACGAATTAGCTGCCGCCTCGTTGATCTACCGCGGTTCGCTTAATAACTATACTCATGACAGTTTCGGTATACATAAAAGATTAATACAAGAAAAAAATCCAAAAAACCTTCTTAAAATGATTTTACTCATATCATTTATGCTAGCTACTCGTAGTAGGATTTAACAAAAAAAACCGTACTCTTGATCCCCGCTAAAACCCCGTAACGATGGTCGTTAATTGACGAACGTTTCAATACAACACTTGTACTAATGACAAGATTTATTTTTTAAAGTTCCAGTTTCGATTCGTACATAAACAAACTAAATATGCTCAGTACGTGTTGAGAGACAAAAAACATTACAGATGAGACACCCTTTGGCGTAACACGTCAGCTCAACAGCAAGGCACTCCATCAACGCTATTATTTCACGCACAAAACGCCCACTTGAGCGAGCAATGCGTTTTAGACGTCACTGTGTTTTAAGTGTCGTCGCGTTTCAAATTACACCACATAATTGTGAATCATTGGGATGTGAATGCACTCACTATCTTCAAAACATTGGGAGGGTTGAACGAACGATATGCAGATCTGAGTTCTACAATATATAAATATATCAAAGATTTCGCCATCAGATTGTTATGCACTAAATTATATTGTTACTTAGTGACGAAGATTACTTTGAGAAATGCTGAAGTAAAAACAAAGTATAAGTTCAATACATGTTTTAATAAAAAACACATTCATATTTTAGCATATTATATTTAGACATGTTTATGTCTTTATCTTAACTAATATATAAAGCTGAACAGTTTGTTTGTTTATTTATTTGAATGCGCTAATCTCAGGAACTACTGGTTCGAATTAAAGAATTATTTTTGTGTTGGTTATAGTACTTATCGAAAAAGGCTTGGGCTAAAACATCGCGCTGTTACTTATTGGAGTGAACAATAAGAGGGCAATGTAGAAAACAGGGGGAAAATTATTCATCCTTGTGGGTTTCCGTTGCGGACACTGCGAAAACGGTCCATGATAGCCAAAAAATATGTGTAAAAGAATGATTCCTCCCAAAATTATTCTAAAATATAGTCCGCGATAGTATACTGTGAGTTTTCTTGCGAGAGAATATATGTCTATCTTTTAAGAATAACTTGCAAGAATGACGGTATGCGGACAAAAATAACTATTTTACGCGAACGAGTCGCTGACTGAGCTAGTAAAGGTATAAAATATCTTTATGATTGTAAAGAATAGAAAAACGTGCGGTCAGTTATTAGGGCGTTTGCACACTCCACACAAATTGCTTTATTACAATAGACCCAATTTATATTATTTCCTAATCTAGATTACTAAACGTTAGGACTGAGTTATGTTCTATGAATTTTTATTTCGTCCATGGCTTATACAGCACAGAATTCCTCGCGTGGAAAATAGTTTCTTTGCTCCACAAATGAGGTGGCGAGGTGAACGCACCGAATTTAACAAAAATTTTAATAACAACCTCAAATATTTCGAGTGCTATGTAAAAAATTCAACTCATCATTTGAAGCACGAGTTGTTGCTTTCACAAAAACTGTGGATAGACTTGTTTTTTGTTTTTAATTGCAGCGCGTTTGTTTAATTGATTTGCTTGTTTTCTATTTATTATTTTAACCCATTTTCGCTTTAAGATCTGTAATTGTAACAGCGCTTAACAGAAATAGGTAAAGAAGGAAGACTAAATAATTCGATGTTCTCCCTGGTTCAATGAATGCAATGCATAGTGAATAATCTACGGGTCGTGAGTACGATCCACACCTGATCTAACATGTTTCTAATAAATTTGTGTATATCTTTTAAACATGTTAGCCTTCGTCTGGAATAATGGAGATTTAATGGGTGGATAGAATATTGAAAATCCGTCCCGGTAACAACTAGCGACCATAATGAAAAAGTCGTTAAATTTATTCGCATTTCGGTTTCAGTCGGTGTATTATCGAATATTCAATGCTTAAATAGGCCGACAGCGCATTTTGTCCAGTTGCTATTGGCGGGGGTATTTCACCTTCCAGCAACTGAACCCCACGCTTGTCTGTCCTCTATCATAAAAAAATCAGTCCCCGTGACCACGGCTGCTGCAAAGCATCCGAAAGCATCCGGGCCGAAGTCAAAAATCATTTTCAAATAAGTTTAACTAATATATCGCGTTTTAAACCGTTAAAGTGTGTTATTTAAATAAATAAAATAAAAATAACATATCTCTCTCAATATTATTTGATGTCCAACTTTCCAATTGACACTGTTGGCATGACATTATCTAATATGGCGTCATTACAGTAGTAACATAAACTGTTAATACGACGAAATAACTATCGAGGCGAGGCTCCGCTTGCCAAACTCTTGCTCAAAGTATGGGTATGCCAATTTTTTTTGTGGAAACTAGGTCACCCATTGTTCCAGTCGTTTATTGCATTCCTAGTTTATGGAGCAGCGGTGACTGAAACATATTGCCGTCTATGTCGATTTTATACGTGTTATAAATCATCGACGTTTTCATTATATACCTAGCTGAGTTGCATTTAATTAAACGTCAAAGGACTCAATATCATACAATTTTAATTTAATTTATTGTTTATTGTCTGTTGTTTACGCGCAGTACTCATTTGAATACAACACTTTTAATGATTTAATAACATGGAATAATATTTTATCAATTAGTAAAATCAATTATTTAAATAAAACACTTTAACGGTTTAAAACGCGATATATTAGTTAAACTTATTTGAAAATGATTTTTAACTTCGGCCCGACGGGGAGACCCCGTGACCACGGCTGCTGCAAAGCATCCGAAACGTCGGGCCGAAGTTAAAAATCATTTTCAAATAAGTTTAACTAATATATCGCGTTTTAAACCGTTAAAGTGTTTTATTTAAATGTGTACTACTCGCGTAAACTATAGACAGTATTTAAAATCAATTAGTTAAAAAATATGTAACCCTTCTGACGAAGGAAGGGGAGATCTAGCAGTTAAATCGCTATGAAGATAAACAAACGGTTTAAAACGCGAAATTTATTAGCTAACTTATTTAATTACATTAAAAATAAGTTAACAAATATATTGCGCGTTTTAAACAGTTAAAAGTGTTTTATGTAAATGTATCTAGTATTCTATTTACAATACTGAATAAAATTGTTATCATTTAATATTAAAGAATGTAAAATTAGCTGAAATAAAAATTTACTATGAAGAGCACAATGTATCCAAGTGATTTTCGTTTACGATATAGGATTGTACTCGGTCCCGTAGGATTCGTTTTCGATACAATATGTTGCTGTCATGTTTATTTGTGGGTCCAGGTGGGATCTCGCTGAGAAATTGTTTAATTTTTCTGGCGATGCTGATATAAGATGAGAGTTTCGTAAGCGTTATAGCTTGTTCTTATATGTAATTACGAAGTAAAAATAATTTGCTATATAATACCTACATACGATTTGAATGTATAGATTATGACAAAATGTTAAATCATTTATATATTTCGGTACGTGCCCCTTTTAATAATAATAATAATAAAAACTCTATTGCACAAACATAGACATAAGAACATAGATACTTAGAATTATATACACGAAATAAAACATGTACATGTACTTTTACTTGTAATAATCAGGTTAGATTTGTTCATCAGTAAATACTTGTATCTTACAAGCGAAGCAAAACCGTTAGCCGACCTCTTATTGATAAAAATATATTCAAAACTCGAATCCAGCAAAATTTGCTACCTTTTCTCGTCTCAACTATTTGACTGCGAAATTTTATTCAAAATTTCCAACTCACCGTTCTATTTCCGAGGTTCCGTACGCGGCAACTGAGGTATGCTGATTTTCCGACGAGTGCGGTGACGTTCCTCGGCGTGGACGCGTCAAAAGATGGCGCTAGGCGCGCGTTCCCTGCTGCTGGCAGGGAATTCACAGAACCAGCGCCGCCCGCTACGTCACACGCACCTGTCAAAAAAATAGAGCTGCTCTAAATTTATAATAATGTAAAGCCGAAGAGTTTGTTAATTTGTTTGAATGTTTGAAGGCGCTAATCTCAGAAACTACTGGTTTGAATTGCAAAATGATTGTGTTGGTTAGAGCAAATATTGTGGAAAGATTAAGGCAATTAAACATCACGATGTGATCTATAGGAGCGAAGAAATAATTATAAAGAAGAAAGAATTTTTGAGAGTCGTTGCGCGCTCTGCGTAAATGGTTCCAGAAACCTGAATACGTATGAAATATTGATTTCTCGTAAAATTATCTACAAAAATGTCACTGAGAATATACCTATATGTTTATATTTTAATATAACTTGCAAGAACGACGGGACGCGAACGACGTCGTGGATAACAGCTAAAATTTATAAAGATAGCTGAAGGTTTGCAAAAACAAATTTTGACGCCTAAAATAACTATTCTATGCGGTGGAAGTCGGTATTATAGCTAGTAATAAATAACAAGAAAATATGCGTAAATAAGTAAAAGTTGACTGATTGATGGATTAGCGCACAGTATTTACCGTAGTTTTTAACGTGATTCAATACTCCAATCTAATTTTTGCATAAAGACTTGTTTCTGAATAAAACAATTTTTATTTTATTTTACATTATGATGAAAGAAGTTATATATATCTAATAAAATACGTTCCCAAAGAAGTGGTTTTAAGTAACGTTACTTTGTTAACATAGCTCTTAAGTGATATATAATGCATACTATTTATAAATATTTAAATAAATTCTTATTCTTTTAACTACAGCCCGACATTCCCCAGTAGCGCCGACCAACCGCCCCAACCTCCTCCCCGTGACCACGGTGACTTCCCTGTTACATCCGAAATGTCAAACCGCACTACAAATCAATAAAATATTAGATGAGCACTATATATCGAGTTTAAGACTGCCAAAGGTGTTTCATTTAATATTTTATTATAGTTAATAGATTATTTTAGTGAATCTGTGAATACAGCCAGCCTAGTCTATGAATTCTTTGTATGTTCAAAATCATGACCTAGTTTTATAAATAGAAAGAAATTATGTGTATAAGAGTACACTGCACAGTTGGTAAGCGAACATTTGTATGCTACATTTTATTACACGTTGCCAGTGGAAAGCAATTACATTTTGTATGTGTACTTACGTTTACAAGTACATAGGAGTAGGCGTAACGCTTTACTGCCACGAGAGATTCGCAAGAACGCTTGGCGCAGAGCGATTGCTGATTACTTTTTCCATATCAGTAATTTAATTACTGCTTATGAAATGGTTATCGGATTCGGAATTTAAAAGCGATGATACTAATATTATAAAGCTGTAAAAAAATAATAAGTAAAATATTAGTATACGAGTAGATTGTACATTTTAAAGTCTTTTTGAGTGATAAATAATATAACTTATATAAACATAACAAGTTAACCTCTGGCGCTAAATACAAAGCTTGGTAACGTTAAGTTACTAAGGTGAGCAAGATTTGAAAATAGAAGTGTATTTTACATTACTTGTACTTGCTTGTATCATCAACTAATCATTGTGGAGTGGCTCATTGTCGTTGCAAGCCCCGTATTACTATAACCGTGCATAATTTTACAATTACTGTGCACATTCAGACAGCTAAAGCACTTAGATTGTACTTAACATTAACAACTAAGTGGCATTCTAAGTGAACACAAGTGACTCTCATGTCAAACGTTTCAGCGCTCATCCCATGACTTGGACTATTAAAAATTAACTTCTATATGCTCTAGAATACTAACCCTGTAGGTATTTGATAGAAAATAACAACCTTTATTTTTTGTAGGATAAAAATGGCAGGTTATATGAAATAAACGTTAATTTCAGATCGAAAAAATTAAGCCACGTTCGAGACTCGTGAAAAACAATTCTCATCACTTCGATCCAAACAATTTGTTGTTTTCGCAGGACTCAAATCCTTGCTAGCCTTTCGTACTTGACCCAATGTTACGGAGGCGGTGAACACAAATGAAAGTTATGTAATAATATTTAATATAATAAATGTCATTCAAATAAAACATTTTTAACGGTTTCAACGCGAAATATATTACTTAAAATAAATTGTAAATAAGTTATCTAATACATTTCGCGTTTAAACCGTTAATTGTGTATTACTCGTGTAAATTACAGACAGTAATACCCTATTTATTACGATTTATTTCTATGATATTAGAAAATAGAAAATCCTAATGGCATTAGTTGGAAAAATCACACTTCTCGGCCCCTCACTCCTCACGACTGAAACAATTTATTGTTTCCCCGGGATTCGAATCCTGGACCTCTCGCGTTTAACGCAGTACCAGGCAATACGTTTAACCATTTAGCTACAGAGACGGTCAATACACAGATTAATAAAGCTAATATTCCATAATAGCGATGAGTAATCCACTGCAATTGTTACGTTACCTATTATAGCCTTCAAGGTGGAGACAGGCATTGAAAATAATATGCCCGTCTCCCCATATCATAACAATATGTTTGAACAAACACCTAGCCTGAGCGATTGAGGCAATGTCTCGTTAATCAGGGAACTGAGTGGTCGCAACAAATTGGGTTGACTTAGTAAATGTCACCCAAGGTTCCCTACATCAATCATAAATCAACAAGTCCCTTACGCTATTTCTGTCATTACCAAAAACGGATAGGTTTTTAGGAGGCCGATTTTTGTAAGGAATTTGAAATATGTTTATTTTAGTAGCACTTTTAGTATTAAGTTTTGATGTGTAGCAAAAGTGGCAAATCTCTCTATATGTTTTAAGTTATAGAAGAGTTATAAACATGGTCAATTAATAATTGACATTATGTATACAGTTATACCATAAATAATACGCATATAACGGTTTAAAACGCGAAATAAATAAGTTAACTTGATTGCTATTTATTTATACTACAGTTGCTTTACTGCTGTCGTGCTATAATATATATATATTGTTTCTGTCGACGATGACGTTTCGGATGCTTTATAGCATCCGTGGTCACGCGGAGCATCCGAAACGTCGGGTCAAAGTTAAAAATAATTTTCAAATAAGTTTAACTAATACATCGCATTTTAAACCGTTAAAGTGTTTTATTTAAATGATAAAGATTTTTTTTTGTTTATTTTCACTTGCGTGTGGCACCGCTGTCCACACTCTAAGGACTTCTAAAATCAGTCTCAGATCATCAAAGGGCCTGATATAAACTGAGTAAGATCCTATAATTATGTATTGTTTTTAATGTTTCAGTAATAAGTTTTATACATGTTTTTGTGTGCCTTAGTAGTTAATAAATTTATTTCTCTCTCTCTCATATTATAAAACAGTTTTGTTCTACGACACCCACACAATAGCGTATCTAATTTATAAACTTGGGCCGTTTCTTAAAGTTCACCTTATATTTAAAGATAAGAACATATAAAGCGATAAAACTGCATAAACTTTCGTAGAGCTGAGCTTATCTGCTGCTGAGATTAATTTTAGTTTTAAAGTCAATTTGTATAATAAACATTGATAGTATAAAAACCTGTAGTAATCCCATAAATCTATTAAAAGATTTTATAAATAAGTAAGTGTACGGTCCTTAAACATGTTGTTTAGTTCACTAAATTACGTATCTTGCTTTAAACTTGATGGCTTTTTCGTCTGTAGAAGTGGTTCGTGACCCGGACGCAATTTCGATATTTCTACCACATGTTTAATGATATTTTAGATTTTAGATTTAGATTTCTAGATTTTCAGACAAAATTCAAGATATAACTTAAAAATCGATATGATATTAAAAATAATTCAACACAATTGGTTTGAGCCACAGCGCGGAACGTCGGTTCCTGCCCGGGTAGTAAATGGTTTTTCTATCTAAGATCTATTTTTAAAACATATAGTGCCATCGTGTGTTTATATTAAAGTTTCCAAAAAATATATATGAATTGATTAGAATCATATTAGACCTGGACCTTCGCCTACACAACTAGTTAAATACTGTCTATAGTTTACGCGAGTAGTACACATTTAAATAAAACACTTTAACGGTTTAAAACGCGATATATTAGTTGAACTTATTTTAAAATGATTTTTTGATAATGCTTTGCAGCAGCCGTGACCACAGCCGCTGCAAAGCATCCGAAACGTCGGGCCGAAGTTAAAAATGATGTTCAACTAAGTTTAACTAATATATCGCGTTTTAAACCGTTAAAGTGTTTTATTTATACACCACTAGTTGTTTATTATGTATACACGAACGGGCAGGATGCTGAGAAATGCAAAATCTTACCCAATCAACGCAACGCATTCTCCACAGAGTACATATTATATTCCTTCTTCATATTATATAATACAGATAATAAATAACTTTTCAGCAATAATAGAGGCGCGAGTAGCGTAAGGTTTATTGCGCCCGGCGCATACAATATGCAACTAGGCGAATTAACGTCGCGAGAGTGGGCTTAAGCATTTAACAATGACAGATGTGCATTGTAAAGTGTACGAGAGTGCTCATATTAGTCGAGCCATTTGGCTTAGTGAAGCGCTAAGCCGTATTCACGTCCCGGGACGTGGAACTTTGAGAATAATTTGTGTTTGAACAGTCTTAAGATAATTAAGGCTGCTTAAATCTTAGCTAACGCTTTTATAATTAGATGTGATTCTTGGGTGGCGTCCGCATATTAAGTTGAGTATTATCCGCTTGTGTTTGGAAGCTTTTGGAGGGAATGCTTTTCTGGTTCGTGCGCGGTTGCGTTGGTCCACTTACAAGTTCTAAACGCTCTAGGTAAAAATAATGGTATATGTATTTTTTGCTACTTTTTTATGCTAGAGGAAGACAGACAAACATGGGTATTCGTAGGTAGGTGAAATACCCCCGTCACGAAACATCTAAACAACATGCGCTGTTGATCTATTTTGGCTTTGGATAATCGGAAATCCAAAGACCGAAACAGAAACGCGATTAATCGCCCCTTTTTTGTGGGTGGTGGTTTGTTAAA